GAGCACTTACTATGCCAGAACATTCCACGCAGAGAAAAACAGGGTCCCGCGCAGCTGAGGCAGATGCCTAAATCGGTCTGCTGACCCCCCCCCCCTCCCCCCGCTACTCCTTCATGTGACTCCCCAAGTCTCCTGTCCTTATTTGGGCAAAGACGCGAGGGAGCTCCCAGAGGCTAAGGTAGGAAACTACGTGCCTTAATAAGGGCATGTGTGGAATCTCAGGCCCGCTGTGGCAGCCAGGCTCTATGCCCACGGCCCTCTGCTGCTCTGCATCCTCTTTTAGGTCCCACCTGGGATCCGGATTTACCCCAGGGCCGGCCCAACACACACGGTCCATCTCCGCCGTCGGACAGGCAGGCTGACTAGGATAAGGGATAAGGAGATTGAAGCAGTGCTCCGTGGTGTGAGCTACAGCCTCCCTGCTGTTTAACCCCATTTCAGTACTGCTCTAGTACAGCTCTAGTACAGTACTAAGTACATAGTATAAATACTGTCTAGTGTAATACAAAACACAGTCTAAATATATAGTCCTATTCAGTACTAAATGCAAAGTCTATCAAGATATTAAATACATAGTCTAAGTACAGTCTAGCACAATACTAAATACAAAGTCCAAATAGTCTAGTACAGTACTAAATACATAGTCCTTGTAGAGTACTAATACTCCAGTCCACTACAAAACAGTATGATTCAGTGTCAGTCACCCTCACAGAGGCCTTTTATGATTGACTTCCTGTTTTTGTTCTAAGTGATCTCTAATACTGATCCTATGTCTGGATCTTAAGTAACACGAGCATTGTGTGGGGCCACCCCTATTCCCCCCCCCTATTCCCCCCCCAAAGAGGACAAACGTTGGGTGGTCTGTAAATCAGGAGCAACGGAGTATAGGACAAAAGGTCAGATGGGGACAGATACAGTAACATACAAATCACGAGGAGCAGGGTGGTTTGGAGGCTAAGGGCCAGTGATGCCGAATTAGACCCCATTAATGCTTGGAATTATTTAAAGAACATAACTTTTTATGGAAAAGAAATGAAGTAACATTACACAAACAGTATCTTTGTAAGAAAATACAATACAGAAAGGCTGTTATTCTGAATGTAGTAGGTATAAACAAACAAACAAACAAACACTGGTAAGATTTTCAGGGCGAACCAGACCTTAAAGACCTTCACCCATAAAGTGTGTGTGTGTGTGTGTGTGTGTGTGTGTGTGTGTGTGATTTATTTGGCCGAGAAGAAAGGATTTGTCAAAAACAACATTTGACACATTTTTTGGTGTATGTTTGTTTATTTTTTGGAGAAATGTGCTGATTTGCAGATGTATGCTGGAAAGCGGCGGTATTGTACTGTCTTTCCTTGGATGCCATCGGGGTTTGGAGCTTGGGAACAATGGCCGACCGAAGGGAGGTTCCAGCAAACCCTTGAAATGTGTCTCTTCTCAGTAGTGGTGGGACCACAGTGCCACGAGGAGCTCCGGAATGTGCCTGTTACTGCAATCTTAAATTTCACATTCATTTCACATGTGGTATGAATTCAGCTTGTGGGGATCGTAACGATAATTAGGAAATCATTTGTCTGTGGATTATTAAATCGCTAACGGATTTTCCAGAGACACTTACATTTGTTAAAATAATATATTTGGATATTCTCGTTTTTGGTAATTGACATTTTCTGAATTTCATATTAGACAGCTGCATGTAAGTATTATTAGTTCTGGCAGGATCTTGCTCCTGCGCTGGGCTGTCCGTACTCCTCCAATCCCTCCGGGCCGCACACTCCTACGGAAGTCTTAAAATGCACGGTTCAAATCCAGACACCTTGATTCTGTGGCAGTATCACACCTATTATCGTCATTGACAGAATTAGTGGTGACTCACAACCAGCAGTGATTGGGGGGGGGATTTGGCGGTTATTTGTAATTTTTTGTGTCTTAAAGGAATTACACACCTGTAATAACAGATAATCTATCCACCCATTCAAGTAGACTTACATTTGCCTCTTATGGCTTGGCTTCAAAAGATCAGTTTATCCGGCCGCGGGGTTTAGCATACAGATGCCAGATCTCTGGCATCATGGCTGTCCAGCACACAGCCATACAGCTCGATGGTGTTGATAGCATCTCACCTGGTCTGCCATCTTACCCAGCCTGCCTGACCATTTGGCCTCTCCAATTAGGCCTCTTTACATCCTTCCTACTTCTGCCTGTTGCTAAAAGGAAGCCTCCCAGCGTCCTTTCTACTTAAGCACTCTTTGCTACGTAGGCAGGGTAGGCCTGCCTACGTCCTTCCTACTTAGTTACTCATCTCTGTGCTAACAGGTAGGCCATCCTTCCTACTTAGCTGCTTGTCTTGATGCTAATGGGTAGACCTTCCTACTTGGCTTTGAATTGATAATGGTTAGTCCTGCCTGCATCCATCCTGTTTAGCTGCTTGTTGCCATTGAGTAGACCTCTCTCCGTCCGTCCTACTTAACTGCGTTTTGCTAATGGCTCTTCCACTCTCTTCCCAGCCGTCCTCAGAGCGGGGCTCGCCAGCGGGCCCAAGCGGGAGCCGCCACGATTGCGTCCAACGAGTGGAGTGCTAACGGCAGCCCGGAGGAGGGCCGGGAGGATGGGGCCGATAGCCTGGACAAGGCCATGGACGGGGACGCTGAGGGCGTGTGGAGCCCCGACATCGAGCAGAGCTTCCAGGAGGCCCTGGCTATCTACCCCCCATGTGGCCGGAGGAAGATCATCCTCTCGGATGAGGGCAAGATGTACGGTAAGTGACATTTGCTTAAGAACGTGTTTTACCGCTAGGTGGTGGTAGGGCAGCCATTGTTATCTGCCTGTACACAAGGGTCTTTGTTTGGGATCTGTTGGGATATGGCCTTGGGTTTGTGGCCAAAAACATTACTGAACAAATCTAATGTGCAACTTGCTGGTTATACCTTACGAAAGTTGTATTGTATTGTTTTAGGGTAACTATTGAAGTATGAGGCCCTCCTCTTCGGGTTAAACCATGCTGGTTGATGGTGGTGATTTCAATAATGCTTCATTAATGGCTTTGTTTATTTATGCCTGCAGCCATCTTTGATCCCTGCTAAGTTCCTGGCAGTACGACTCATCTTCAGAGTCACATTGGTCTATAGCAACGTTGTGGAACAAATGAGAGTCAGATTTGCGCCAGATTTGTTACCCAAGAGACTGACATAGTCTTCTGCTTTGTCAGATGGATGATTAGCTCTTGTATGGTGTCTGGTGAAATTTAGCTGAAAAGCTACTTTGCTAATTCAGCTAATACTAATTCTGAAATATTGAGGGAAAACTATGTTGCTGTAGGTTGCTGATGGTCTCGCCCATTCCTCCCAGTGTCTGTTCCTCCTAGTTCCCTTGCCAGTCACGCGTTCTTTCTGGAAGTGTAGCCATGTAGCAATTTAGTAGCTATATTTGTGTTATGATGGCGGTGAGCGTGAGTGTGTGTCTGTGTGTGTGCGCACTTGAGGGGTGGGGCTTTGACCCTTTCTCCTCCTGTAGAATAGGCCTTGGAGGGCGGCCCGCATTCCTAGCATTTTTCCCCCGGCTTGTGAGGGACACGCATTCCTGTAGGCCTCAGGCCCGGGCCTGCTGCTAGCGGGCAGCCCTGTAACAGGAAATCGAACCCCAGGCTGACAGAAGGGGAAGGTTTGTTTCAACAGGCAGGCATTTTCTCCTTTTGTGGAAGTGCCGCCCTAGTGGGGGCCTCCCCCGGGTGACTTTCCCCTTTCGGAGTCCCCCTCCCCCAATGTCCCACTTCCACGTGTGTCACTGAGTCACGGCAATGTAGCCAGATAAAATGGGACAGAAGGTAAGGTTGATGGCAGGGAGGCATTGTTATAAGCAGTGCTGGTGGGGGTGCAGGCAGGTGTGGGGGGGGGGTGGTGTTTATTTCAGCGCTGGCTCCCCTGTGGTGTCCCTGTATCTCCTGACCTTGTGCACTAGCAGCTGCCTGCTCAGTCCCACCTCATTCATGTCCAAATCAAGTCAAAGGGGCACCCAGCTGTTTGACCTTTCAGTCCATGAGACACTTCACCCAAATTGCAGGTAAACCTGCAAACAGATAAACCATAGAACTGCAAGCAACATGAGCAACTTTGTATAACTGCCCCAAACAGTGGGTGCCCGGGGCCACCGTACAGGTGTGGCCCCTTTTGTTTTTGGCAATCATCGATTGGAAGGTGTGTCCGATGGTCTCCGGTTTCTTGGTTCTCCTGTTGTTGGACAATCCTGGCTTCTCTTACTGGGGAGAGAGTGTGTTGCGTCGAATCTGAAACAGCCACATGATCTGATTAATTTTAAAGCTGGCCGAACTTAATGAAACACAGGAGCGCGTGCTGTAAGTCGGCCTGAGACGCTTTAGCGCAAAATTTCACTCGCCTCGCGTCCAGAAAGCGACGGGATTGAGGTCCGTGCGAATCACACGCAGGGTGGAGGACCTAAACCAGCCGCCGCACGTGTTGGCTGTCCGAGATTAACCCAAGGAAAAGTTCAGCGAGCGGCGATGATCGGAGGTTTATTCATAGTTGGAAAAGGCAGCATTTGTGGCGCAGGGCTTGTGGATCTGCAGTCGCGTTGCTTGTTTTAATAACCGCGTGTATCCAACTGCTTTGGACAGGTCCCACTTCCTGGCTAAAATAAACTTTAACAAGAAGGATGAAAAAAAATAAACAAATAAAATTGAAATACAGGGATGGCAAAATGCTGAAACGTGTGTATGACCTCATTCTGCAGCTGTGCATGGAGTAGCAGGTCCCAGCCTGAACAGTCACAGGACTATGACACAGGACTATGAGGACACGACAAAGACTATGTACTTTTTTTAGTGACTTGTATAGTAACGTAAAACGGTGCTGGGACAGCAGAGATAGACCATGTATGGCATGTGATATGATCGAAGGCAGACCCACGAAAGCAGTGTGTGTTTGGGCTTGACACCAAGTGAGTGACTGTGTGTCCTGCAGTTTGAAAAGTAGGGACAGCAGGTTCGTGGTATGGATGGTGTGTCTGTGTGGACCACAGCCTCGATTCAGCACTGGTCACAGTTGCCGTTAATGTGCGTCAGCTGGTCTTGGAAGAGGTGGGGGGGGGAGGGGGGTCATTATATAGCCTCCCATTTGTAACGGTCGTCTGCTCCCTCTGGTTGTGGGTAGGGGCATGCTTAGGATGGAGATGGCTGGAGATCTTCCACGTGCTGACGGAGAGGTACATGTGCACAGCGGGTAAAGCAGATGCCAGATCCAGCCCTCTAGATCTTTAACCCCTTCCAGCTGTCCTGGGCCAAACCGGAACGCGACTGGACTTTGGACACGAGATCATCAGAACCCGAGGAGAGGGTCTTGGGGAGGGGGTGATGGTAACTCAAAAGTCTTGGTCGCATCAGAATGGGACGGCTGTGCCAGTGGACAGCCTCTAGCTCTTTGTGAGTAAACCACCCCCATAAATCTTTAGATTCATCCAGAGTCCCTAAATCAATTTGCAGTGAGAAGGCAGAGAACCGTCCATAATATCCATGAGACAATCTGTACAGGGACACCTGTCGGGGATCAAACAAGTCAGCTCTTACACGGTAGCGTGTTATCTGAAAGGCAGAAAAAGCCTTCTTAATGAAAGGCCTCCAGACATATTTACTGTGACAGAATGAGTGCGTTTGTGTTGGCATATGCTTATCATAATTTATCATCTGTGTAGCGCTGTGGCTGTGCAGCCTGTTCCAAGCAACAGCAGCACCGAGTGAGTTTATGCTCGGACTGTGTTAATTCATATTAACGCTTAGTTATAAACACCGCCATTCATAAGGAACTCCTGGCAAACCCTTAAAAGTGCAATGGTCTGGTTGAAAATCTCAACTAGGGTATAAAATGGTGGATTTAGAATCATTAGCTAAATGAGAAGTAGCACAAATAGGATGTATCCTGGGTGTTTTCTATAATGTTTTTTTAGATATTTAAGTATTTGCAGCTTGGTTTTCTGCACCTTTGCTTCTTATTCTGCCCTGAACACGAGTAAATTTCAATATTAGCATGAATATATTTAGTCATAAGTCATGTGACCGATGGCTGCCGCATGAATAGGTGTTAAACCTTACGGGGTGCTGATTGGTCGCTTCAGGCCTGCGCAGCGGGGCGCTTTCTGCAGGCCGGTTCCTGGCCGCCCACAGGGTGGAGGTGCACCTCGTCCATGTAGACCTTTCTTAACCTGGTGACATTTCCGGGATTATGGGCATTAACTGCTCCTCTCAGATTTTGGCCCAGGATCTCACCAGGGATCAGCCTGTCTGATGACATCACAACTCAGGTTCTCGTTCTGCACTTTGCCATCAGGGTCTGTATGTAGCAGACCAGCACCCTACCAGTACCATGTTTAATTACTGGGATGGGCTTCCTGCTGTGGGGAGGCAGCGTTTGGTTAGTTCCAGACATAACCGGGCCTGAGACCACAAAATCCCATTTTCAGTCATCAGTTCATGCAAATCTTTTTAAAAGCACTTGAGGACCATAACGGAGGCTTCTGGCAAGCATTAGGTGAGCGTTCGTGTTCCTCTTGGAGCGCATCGCTGCCGTTGATCCCACAGCAGACTGCAGACATGTCATTCCTGGTCTGACCGTCAGCTCTGAGCCCCCCCAAGATGAAGGATCATGAAACAGATGCTCACTCCCCATCTTACAAGAGGGGTTTGCATAAGATATATACCAATACATTTTTGCATACTTACACACTGTCATAAAGTGATTTGTGTGTACCTTCTGACCCTGACTAATATACACAAGAAAATTCACATATTTTTCCCCAGTGTCATCAAATGTTATTTTATTTATTCAGTAGAAACTTTTTTTCTTCAGGGGAAAAAAAGCTGGCGAGCTTCCGCTCACAGACATGGTGTCCTAACCCGTGTGGCCACACTCCACCCCCCAGGTGTTGAATCGGCTCTTCCCTTCTTAAATATGCTTATTGTACGTGCGGCGAGGAAAAATTAAGGGTGGCCAGCGGAGTGTGGAGTAACCGCTACGTCACCGGCCTCTGGGTGACCCGTCATATTTACGCGATAAACGTGAAAAACACACTAAGTGTGCAACGCCGGGGAATGGGGAGCCAGACTGCGGAGAGGCTTGGAAGTGCATCCTGGGAATGTTTCTTGGAAAGCAGGGCAGACATTCTGGGACCGCGCTGAGGCGGCTCCTATCGTGTCACGCTTCGGAATTGCGGCCGCGCCTCTGATCTCCGTGGGTTATCCTAACGACGAGGGGGTTGCGCTGATTAACCTTCACGTTATGCTTGTTGGTGATGTTCCTGTTCAGGTCAAAGGGCACTGGACTGACTTTTTGGGCTCAGTGGATTCCCAAAGTGGTTTTTGACTCCTGGGGCAAAACAGCGAGTTGCTTATTCTATGAGCCAGACCTTTTCTCCTCCTAATAAGGAGCATGGTGCTCCTCTCCCGCCCTGAGTTATCTGGAAAGCTGCGCACGTGAAAACATTCTCTGCCTTTTGACTGAGGCTGTTTTCCCCATTTGGTTCCTGGACATGTCTGTACCTGCACCGGTTGCCAGGTTGGGCCAGACCCACGGAAGACAGGATCTTCCACAGTTGATAACATGCCTCACGGCAGCAAGCCACCTACACACAACTACCTGCTCGTGTTGAAATGGTTGGATCGTTTTTTCTTCTTTCCTACAAACACACAAGCACACGTACACACACACACACACGCACAGTCATACACACAGTCACACACACACACACACACAT